ACTTCCTTATTTTGAGCTATTCTAAGACCTCTAGACCTACAGAGAACCCTCCTAGGGCCTTCCAGGAGTCCTTCTGGCTGATCTTCCTTCAGTCTTCGAGAGTCTTCAAGCTTTATTTCCGACCCGGACAATTTTAGGGGTCTACACTTCTCAAAAGGGGCCCATTTTGGTACTTTTCCTACACACTTTACTGCTTTCAAGGTTGCTTAACTCTTCTTTGATCTTGTTTGCAAACATCGCGGTGTTCCTCGTAGCTTGGTTTATGACCGTGATCATATTTTCATTAGAAAATTTTGGCGTGAGATCTTCAAAGTGTGTGGTACTAAACATTGCATGAGTACATCTTATCATCCGGAGAGTGATGGGAAAATGGAAGTCCTTAACCGTGTGTTGGAACAATATCTTCGTAGTTTCGTCCACACTCATCCTACAAGATGGAGTAATTTCCTTTCTCTTGCTGAATGGTCCTATAACACATCAGTCCACACTGCCACTAGATACTCTCCATTTCAGATTATTTTTAGCAAACCCCCTGCTTCCATCCCTCACTACTTGTTGGGTTCTTCCACAGTGGAAGCTGTGGACAAACTTTTGGCAGAACGCCAAGAATTATTAGCTGTGTTGAAACGCAAGCTTGAGAAGGCCCAATTGCAAATGAAAACTCAAGCTGATCACAAGTTCTTATGCCATTAATGATTGGGTGTATGTCAAACTACGTCCTTATCGTCAAATTTCTGTTGTTGGCAGTCACTACAACAAGTTGTCAAAGTGTTATTTTGGCCCTTTTCAAATCATTGAACGCATTGGCCCTATGGCATATAAGTTAGCTTTACCCAGCACTTCTAAGATCCATCCAGTTTTTCATTGTTCTCTTCTTAAACTGCACAAGGGTCCACTTCCTGCTCTCGATGATCCTCTCCTTGCTTTATCCCATGATCATCATCCTTTGGTCACTCCTCTGGCCATCTTGCAGTCTAAATGGGATCAGTCCACATCTCCCCCCCCCCACACGTCTAGTGCTTGTCCAGTGGGTGGGGTTGTCTCCAAAAGATTCTAGTTGGGAAAATTGGGACGATCTTTGTATTGTTTACCACCTCGAGGACAAGGTGGATTTTGCAGAGGGAAGTATTGATAGAGAAAACAATACAAATGTGAAAGTTGACAGTAGGCCCAAAAGAACAGTTGTCAGGCCCATTCCCTACAGGGATTGAAAATTCTCATTCAGAATGAAAATACTGCATTTTTATTAGTTTGTTTTGCCATATATGCATTCGGTTATTACATCATTTTGTCATTGCAGCATTCTGTTATTTGCATTCTTGTTTTTTTCTGCTATATTGCGCCTATATATGAGGCTTGCAAAGTATTGAATGGGCACGAAATAGATATTTCCATTTGTTTAATTTGGAGGAACCTTGGCCTCGAACTCAAGGAATTTACTGTGTTCATATCATATTTGAAATCAAAAATTTAATACTTAATCCAGTTTATATATATATATATATATAGAGAGAGAGAGAGAGAGAGGAGGGTTATAATAATACCAGTATAACTTTTACTAAATATTACACCACTCAATAACTTTATATTAAATGTAAATTCTGTAAATCTAACTATTAGATTGAAAGTTCTTTACTCTTAGATCATATATACAAAATTTTATATTAATTCAAGATAATTTAATATTTTTTATTGTGAAGAAAGGGGCAAAAAGCCCAAAAAACAAATCAACAAACACCCGCCAAATCAGCGGCTAATAAGTGAAGAATGAAAATAGGAGGCGAATCATATACTCCTCTAATAAAGGGTGTTGTTTGGCTAACAAATCTGCCACTAGATTGGACTCCCTACCAATATGCATGTATGAAACTGTCTCACAAGAAGCTATTAACTCAGATATTTTCTACACCAAGTCAAAACAATCCCTTTGACGGGGACAACCATTCTTTAATAGTGTGATTGCTTCCAGGGAATCAGACTCTATTAAAATGTGTGAACCCAAACTTCTAAGATGGATTAATTGAAGTCCTTAGATGATAGCCCACAACTCAGCTTTTAAGACAGAGTAGTGGTCTAGTTTCCTTGAATATGCCATAATGCACCTACCATTTGAATCTCAGACTAAACCGCCACAAGAACTTGTTCCCGCATATGACACAACACCGTCACCATATTTAGCTTGATATACCCTGAGGGAGGACAACTCCAGTTCCTTAGGTTGTTTGTGACCTCTGACTGGTCCCCTGCATCAAAAGGAGAGTTATTATTGGCTATAGAGTTTGCGCGGTTCAATACAAGGGATATTAACTGATTTGTCAATGAGAAAGAATGTTGAAACACGGCTGTATTTCTTTTCTGCCATAATGCATCAATTGTGATGGCAAAGGTAAGGGGCCACTTCATCCCTCCTATACTTCTAGTCAGGTGGAACAACAACCACTCCTGAATATTACTACCTAAGGGTTGATAGATATTTATTCCACCAGGCATTGTGTTCCATACTTGTTTGACAGAGATACAATCTCGTAGAGCATGTATGGTGTCTTCCGAGCCCCGCATGCAGATGGGGCACGTCGGAGCAGTCACTAAACCTCTTTCATAACGTGTATCATTCATCATGAGGCTCTGCGAGCCACACACTAGAGGAAGAGTCTAATTCTTTCTAGGCCTTGCCATTTCCACAAGGCTGGCTTTAAAGATAGGAGCACAAGGAGTTGAGTCAGATGGTGACAAGCTTGCATAAGCAGATTTAATGGTGAACAAACCATCAGTGGTAAGGCCCCAATGAATTTCATCAAGCCCGGCATTGATTATGGGAGGAGAGTGAGTTGCAATACTGTTCAAAACCTCTCGAGGTAACCATGGGTGAATAAACTCAAGCATCCACCTACCCTGTTCAGTAACGTATTCTCGGGCCTTTCGAAAAAGTTCAACAGGTGGAACAAATGTGGTTGCATGTTGAATAAGAGGCTCACGTTGAGGCAACCAAGAGTCAAACCAGAAACGACCAGAACTACCATCCTTAACTCCCTACTTAACATGCGCAATGACGTGTTTCCAGTTCAAGCAAATGCCCTACCACAGATTTGACATTTTCGCTTTCTTCTCAACTCGGGGGATTATACCATCCTAGCATTTATACTTCGAACGAATTACTTTCACCCAAAGCTTATTGGGTTCAGAAAGTAAACTCCAACAATTCTTCATCATAAAGGTTATTGACCTCTCTTAGTGACCGTAGACCTAGCTCGCCGTGCTCTTTAGGCCTGCAAATTTTATCCCAACTAATGGTATGAATCTTCCTATGAGTGGTCCTATCACCCCAAAGGAAGTTTATGCTTAATTTGTCCACTTCATCACAGATGCTCCGAGGCATATGAACCATTTGCATTGTGTAGGATGGAATGGCCTCGATGACTGATTTGCATAAGGTGAGTCACCCCACAAAGGAGAGGGTAGAGGCTTTCCAACCAGTTAGCCTCTTTGTTACGCTGTTGATCACGCTTTGATAGTCACTTCGTCGAGTTCGGGAGTGATGAGCAGGAATTCCCAAGTATTTCCCCAGGTTGTTAGTACGTTGGAAACCTAAGGCTGAGCTGATGTCATTCCTCATTGTGTGGGGCACGTTCTTAGAGAAGAAAATCTTAGTCTTCTCCAAACTGACTTTCTGACCAGAGCTAGCACAAAAGCGATCAAGACAATCTTGAATTACCTCTGCTCGATCCATAGAAGCCTCGACAAATAAGATAAGATCGTCAGCAAAAGCAAGATGTGAAAAAGGAGGGCCATCTTTCTCCAGTCTAATAGGTTGTCATCTCCTCATTTCAACCTCCTTCCCAATAAGTTGTAGGAGTCTCTCTATATAAGGACAAACAAGTATGGAGAGATCGAGTCCCCCTGACGAACACCACGAGAGGGTAGGAATTCATTAAGGGCTTCCCCATTCCAAAGCATGCGCATTCTTAGGGATGAAATGCTTGCCCAGATAATGTTTACAAACTATAGCGGTAGGCCAATATCTAGGAGAGTATCTTTAACAAAGTCCTACTTCAACCTATCGTAGGCCTTCTCAAGGTCAATTTTGATTGCCATCCATCCTTTTGCTCCTGATTTATATCTCATAGAATGAATCACTTCCTGAAAGATGATAATATTTTCTTTGCTTTGTCTGTGCGGGATAAAGCTGCACTAGTTAGGGTGGACTAGTCATCACCTGACTGAATCTAGGAGCTAAGACTTTAGTTAGAATTTTGTATGATACGTTACACAACCCAATAGGCCTCATATGCTTTAAGTAGGAAACATTATCTACTTTCGAGATCATCACTATTGATGTCTCATTGATATCATCAACTTTAAGAGGTTCAACTTTAATATCATGGATAAGTTGGAAAACAACATTTCCCACAATATCCCAATGAGATTTAAAAAACACTACTTGAAGTCCATCAGGACCGGGGGCCTTGAAACCACCCATATGCTTTATTGCATAGTGTATCTCTTCATTTCTTATGGGTGCATCAAGAGTAGAAAATTCATCTTCACTTAATCTAGGGAGTGCATTGGTCAAGCAGAATGGTGCTGAAATCCCTTCATCAATAAAAAGAGATGTATAAAAGGAAGTTACCATTCTTTCCAGTTCAGCTAGGTGCTCCACCCATTCCCTATCGTCGTTCATCAGCTTATCTACTTTACTTCTTCTCCGTCGAACAATGGTAGAGTCGTGAAGATACCGAGTATTTCTATCCCCCAAGCGCAACCATTTACACTGGGACTTTTGGAACCAAATGATTTCTTCTCTCTTGAGTATCTCATCTAATTCAGTCCATAATTTCATTTGCAATCTCTCTAGAAAGTGATTAGGGCCTTGTAGTAATTCTCTAGCAATCCCATTTAAACGTTTGAGCAGTTTGCGTTTTGCGAAGAAGACGTTCCCAAAAGTGGACTTATTCCACTATAATAAGGATTGTTTCGTATTTTTTTATCTGCTAATTCCATTCCTAGTTCACATCCCACACATTGCGAATAAGGGTCGAAAATTCTTCATGAGTCATCCATTCAGCCTCAAAACGAAAAGGTCGTCGAGAGATTCGAACATTTCTGTTCACATATAATCTAACGAGGATGGGAGCGTGGTTAGACTTTAAGGGATTCAAATGTGAAAGAGAAGCATCTGGGAACCTAACACACCAATCATAAGACACCAAGGCTCTATCCAATTGTTCAAATAGGTTACCACGACGCCACGTAAAAGTAACCCCATTGTAACCCATATCCATGAGGTTGCATTGGTTAATGAATGATCTAAAAGCTTGGTCCCCTCTAAGAAAGGATTGGCCTATGCTTCCTAATTGTTCGTGGGGGTTGTAGGACCTCATTGAAGTCACCCATTACTAACCATGCTCCATCCACTAGATTAGCCAACCGAGTAATATCCCTCCAAAGCGGAATACAACCTTGTGGGTGTGGGCTAACATAAATCAGGGTAAAACCATGGAGAATCACCTCCATTAATTTTAATATGAATAAGATGCGTAGAGTGCTCCAAGATGTTAATAGGCCATCTATGCGAATCCCACATGCACCACAAACCCCCTGCTTGACCATGAGCTTGTACCATAAAACATTTATCAAGTGCAATTTTACGAGCAATCTTCCATGCACGATCCCCACTAATGTGGGTTTCCATAAGACATAAGAGTCCAACATTATACTCCCTGATGATATCATTCACCAAGGAAGCAAAGCCTCTACCCCCCGTACCCCTACAGTTCCAACTTAGGCAATTCATTGGGAATTATTGGTGTTGGTGGGTTGTGGAACCCCATACCTTTCATCATGGTCTGCCTTTAACAAAGGTTGATTAATACTATCATTAGGGTTACTCTTTATGATTGGGTCAAAGTGCTTTCATAGTGCAATTCCGATTTGTTTGTTTGGAATCGTCAACTTGAATCATAAACTTTGACTGAGTTATTTATACTCGCCCAGTCGGACTTTTGCCGACAATTACGAGTTTCAGTCTTCGAGTTATTTATACTCGCCCAGTCAGACTTTTGCCGACAATCACGAGTTTCAGTCTTCGAGTTATTTATACTCGCCCAGTCGGACTTTTGCCGACAATCACGAGTTTCAGTCTTCGAGTTATTTATACTCGCCCAGTCGGACTTTTGCCGACAATCACGAGTTTCAGTCTTCGAGTTATTTATACTCGCCCAGTCGGACTTTTGCC